TGGTTCTATATCCACATATGTTTGATCTTACTGATCACTTGAGTTCTGCATTCAAGGTCCTACGAACTCTTCTGCTTGGAATTCTGAATCTCTCTTAATTCCAGGTTCTATCTTCCATCCAAGGCATGAGGAAGCCAAGCGAGGAGAAAGATCAAACATATGTGGATATAGAACCATTAAGTGGTGTGCCAATACATGCGCAGAGGGTCACACAAATCAATGTTGGAATGGTAAAAGGAAACCTCAAGTCAGTCTTTTTGAGATGGCACATGAGAAGCAGGTGGAGTTACTTTCAATACTCCCAATATGAATTTTTAGTGTCTTGGCCGACATGTATAACATTACTTTCCCTGTCTTGTGGATGAATGAAAGCGTCTATTTCGACAAAGACACCAGAGACCAGTTGAGTCAACTAACATCTGTGAAGTAAGTGTTCACATTTTCGAAGCTGTTTGAATTTAATGTAAGTTGGCCGATTTGGTTTGTGATGAGCGTTGTACTGAACATTCACATGTTAGCCCCTTTTAAGTGTAATATGAAATAGATGAGGCTGACGTGGTGTAGTGCAAGTGGCACGCTTACAGTTGGGGCATAAAATCCCGAATCGGCTACCGTCTAATCTAGCCGAGACGTCTATCTTCCCGGGACGTATAATTGCTACCAATTTCGTCTGGGAGGATAACAACACTGACTTGTACATCGGCTGGCCCCCGCAAGTCATTATAGGCCACATCGCATTCAATAAGCCAATTCTGAATGGAAGTAGAATGCGTGCCGCATCCCACAAAGGGATTGATCAACGGCGATGACCTCATCCTTTATCTTCTACAGTATGGATAATAGACTGCTTCTCTCTAGCTTTCATTTGAAGGGTTATAACTTTCAGCAGCTTGTGTCAGGGGCTGGTAGAATATGTGAGCTCGTAGTAGGGCAACATGCTTAGTTCATCCGAAAGTCATCAGTGGAACCTCGTCTAGTTCTAGTAAAATTGTGCAGAGTGGTCCGTGGTGTCCCTCTTAGTCTCCCATACTTCCCGCTACTGGATCTCGAGCAACGCGAGCAGCTCTTTACTATGACTATAATTCGGGAACCATTTCGATCAACAAACATTGTCTTCATCGAGTAGTGCTATAGGAAACCTTTTCAAATAGGCGGTTAAATCTCTTAGTAAGCATCGGTTTTCTTTGCTTACTGCCTAATGTAAAGGGTTTGGTGGCGTTGAGCGACACTATGATTTGATAGCAGCCTGCCGTTTTTACCTTAACATATATCTGCTCGCTAAAAAACAGGCGGCTCGCTCCTTCTCTGCTGTTCTTTACTTTCTCAGGGTGCAGCCATACTTAGCGTAATCAGTATGAGGACATTGAGCGTGCGCCAGCATTGTGAGCACCAGCGGCTGATAAAGGGGAGACGGTCTCTAGGACCATGCGACGTCGCGTGCGCGACAATCTATAAATACTGCGTGCTTGCTATTTAGCGCACGCTTGCGATTAACTCATTGCGTTAATGAATCAGATTGTTCGCTTCAGTTTTTAGCCACGCTCTGCTGGAAGGCCTCGATTGTCATGACCGTTGGATTTTGCTTTATTTGAATAATTAGAGTGATCACCTTGCAACAAGTTAGCTTATCTGCTGTTCCCAATCATTTGGCTGTCATAATGTTTTCTGAACAGCATACTCTCATAGACTGTACTTACTGTCGTATTGTTGAGGTACGATGGAGTGCCCTATTGAAGGAATGGCAGCGAAATGTTTTTGTTGCGATAACAAAACCAGCGCGAACGCGCGCCGATCGTAACCATACGGTATTTGCAGTCATTGCGAGCGACGCCCCGTAGCCTTACCCCCTGAGAAAGTATAGAAATCGACCTAGCTTCTTGAGCGTACGCTGGAAAAGGTTTTAACCGCGTTCAGGACTATCGCCGATCGCGCGATCCGGATCGCGCGATCGCTGTGATCGCGTGATTTGGATCGCGCGATCGCTGTGATCGCGCGATCGCGCTACTGTGGGTGAAATTACACCGGGAGGGGTCATGTTCGTTCGTGTTCAACTCAACTCAACAAACAACAACAACAAAGTTCTGGGGAGTCGTACTGATATCACCATTTCTCACATCACGATGCTGTATCCTGCCTCCAATAGGCAGTTCCAAAAACGATATAAAAGTAGTTCGACCTTTTTTGATGTCTTTTATTCCGTGTTCATATTCGCAATACTGACGTTTGCAGAAACCGTCGAAAGGAAAGGTTGTGTATAGACCTGGAGGATGGCAGAACAAACAAAGCAACACAATGTGACAAAAGTAAAGTGAATATCTGGAGAACTGGCAAAATCGGGGGAAGGGAGAGAAACAACATCACCCGCTGTTGAAAGTTCTGCGTGTCTTACTTTTGGAACAAGATGTTCAATACTCCGCTTGAACGTACTCAGATGCAAAATTCAGTATAATAATTAGCATATTGAATATTTAGTACTATTTTACATAGGAAATAATAAATAACTCAAAGATATTTCGAAACGTTCCTTAAAATTAGGAGGGCGTTATGTACACAAAGGAAGAAAGAAGGAAAAGGAAAAAAAGAACAGGAACAATAAACATGAACTAACATGATCCCCTCCCGTGTAATTTCACCCACAGTAGCGCGATCGCGCGATCCAGATCGCGCGATCACAGCGATCGCGCGATCGCGAAGTCTGAACGCGCTCTTTACCGTCACATACCCCCTGAGAATGTATAGACTCGACCTAGCTTTAGCACGCTGAAAAAGGTTTTAGTGTGGATTGGCGCGCAAAGCTGTCAGTTCGGTTCAGGTTTGTCGGAGATTCCCCAAAAGGGAGGTGGGTCGTATCTGGTCGCTGGGAGAGCGGGTCTCTTTGTGCCGCAGAATTTTTCGTAGTGATTTTCTTGCTTCAGGACGTTTAAAGGGAGGTCGCGTTTGTTCGTTGTTGAAGGGGGCGGGGGCGAGCCGTCAGGTATTTCCCGTCAACATTCTGAGAGAGATTTGCCTGCTTCCCGGGGTTTTTTTCCTGTTCCATGGCTTACTATAGTACAGTACCCGCCGTAAGTGTTCAAAAATTTACGAAAAAAACGCCGATCCGCGTTTTTTTCGTTTTTTCGTTATAGAGCTGTTCTTTTTGATTTTTTGTATGGATACCCATATATTATTAGAATCAGCTCGCCGAGCTCTATCGGGGGGGGGGGGGGGGGGGGGGGGGGGGGGGGGGGGGGGGGGGGGGGGGGGGGGGGGGGGGGGGGGGGGGGGGGGGGGGGGGGGGGGGGGGGGGGGGGGGGGGGGGGGGGGGGGGGGGGGGGGGGGGGGGGGGGGGGGGGGGGGGGGGGGGGGGGGGGGGGGGGGGGGGGGGGGGGGGGGGGGGGGGGGGGGGGGGGGGGGGGGGGGGGGGGGGGGGGGGGGGGGGGGGGGGGGGGGGGGGGGGGGGGGGGGGGGGGGGGGGGGGGGGGGGGGGGGGGGGGGGGGGGGGGGGGGGGGGGGGGGGGGGTTCGCCTGCTCATAGTGCTACAAAGTTGGTTTTTTTGCTGGCCCGCATGTTTTGGCGCCACTACTTTTTCCAACAAAGTCTGTATAAACTCGATTACTGGGGCTACTCAAAGCCCTGTTTACGAAAATGACATTCATTTCTCGCCGTGGCGCCATTTGGCGCCATTAGGTGCCAATTTCGCGCCACTTGCGCCACTTTGGCGACACGACCTTTCTCAAAAAAATCTGTATAAACTTGCATAATGGGGTTTCTCGGTGCCCTGATCACAAATGTAACATCCATTCCAGGCCATGGCGCCGTTCTGTGCCATTTGGTGCCAATTTGGCTCCACTACTTTTTTCAGCAAAATCTTTGTAAACCCGCAGCCTGGTTTGTGGAATGGTCACGTGATCGTCTTTTGCAGAGCAAACATAAATCACGTGAGCTTGCGGCTATGGTGAGCGCAGAGCCGCCAGCGCCGCAAGCTCACGTGATTTATGTTTGCTCTGCAAAGACGATCACGTGACCATTCCACAAACCAGGCTGCGGGTTTACAAAGATTTTGGTGAAAAAAGTAGTGGAGCCAAATTGGCACCAAATGGCACAGAACGGCGCCATGGCCTGGAATGGATGTTACATTTGTGATCAGGGCACCGAGAAACCCCATTATGCAAGTTTATACAGATTTTTTTGAGAAAGGTCGTGTCGCCAAAGTGGCGCAAGTGGCGCGAAATTGGCACCTAATGGCGCCAAATGGCGCCACGGCGAGAAATGAATGTCATTTTCGTAAACAGGGCTTTGAGTAGCCCCAGTAATCGAGTTTATACAGACTTTGTTGGAAAAAGTAGTGGCGCCAAAATGGCGCGCCAGCAAAAAACCAATTTTGTAGAATATGAGCATACCCTCGGATAGAGCTCGGCGAGCTGATTCTAATAATATATGGGTATCCATACAAAAAATCAAAAAGAACAGCTCTATAACGAAAAAACGAAAAAAAAAAACGCGGATCGGCGTTTTCTTTTCCGGTGTTATCCTTTCGACATTGGCGGTACTATGATACGACAGCTACGAGGAGGAACCAGCGAGCAGAGTCGTACCACCCGTCCACCCCCCCCCTTGAACAAAAGGGGCTAATGCCGTTTGGACTCCAGAAATTTCGCCTTCGAGCTCATCAAATTGCTTAAAGGCACTTTCCGCGATAAAATAAGGCTATGACCTTTCAAATGTGTCAGACGATCCGGAAGGAGATTGCGGAGGCTGCGCTACCTTTAGAAAGTGAAAATCGGCAAGAATTCCGCTTTAAGCTAACCAATTAGGCCCATGGGCGCCCCTTAGGCCCATGCCGACCCCCACCGGCTGCTAGCTACTAGCTAGTAGCCACTATGCTATCTCTCTCCATTCCGAATGGTGAGAGTGAGGTGATACGATAAAAGAGCTGATATCTTTATGATAACGACGAGTGGAAATTCGTACAAACATGCGTTTTCTTCATTGCATGCATGTACAAGTTGGGGTCGATATGGAATCCTATTTAGGGCATTCTCGGCTGTTTTTCCGCTGCTTTTCTCCGCTAATCAGATACCTAGCCCTTTCTTCGTTCCTATGTGGGTTCCGTTACCCACAATCTGTGGTCGCGGGTTTTGCCTTTAAGTCACCAAATCCACTAAAAACTTGTATATAGGGGTAATTCAACATCCTGATTACGAGTATGACACTCATTCTTGGCGCTGGCGCCAAGAGAGGACACTATTACCTCCTGGGCTCAGCCTTAGCAGAGCGCAGGTAACCGTAGTGTCATCCATTAGCGCCAGCGCCAAAAATGAATGTCATATTCGTGATCAGGATGTTGAATTACCCCTACGAAATTTCTGGAGTCCAAACGGCATTAGCCAACAAAAGGTGGGGCGACTCGATCAAAATCTACAACCAATGATGTGCCCTGATTCGGTTCAAATTCACGACTTTTTTTCTTCGAAGAAAGGGTTCACAGATTTTTTTTCCACGAAGAGAAGTCCATGGTAATCCATTCAGTTAATTGTTTCACTATGCAGTGAATTGTTTTATTCAATGCTGACGAATTTCAGACATCTTGTGAACATACTTGGAATAACGTTTCTCACCGTGGGGCTACTTATGTGGTTTGCAGTCATAGCAGTGGTGGTGATACGTGTTCTCGTTAAGGTGAGATCACTAGCTGATTCCCACTGTTGCGTAGTTAAAGTTCAGCACATGCGAGAGTTTCAAACTTATCATTCATTTTCTTTTAGCCACGCGATGATGACGAACGAGCCATTCTGCAGGATGACGTTGTTGAAGAAGAAGTTGGTAATATCTAATTCATACATTCGCATTTTGCTTATGTTTCACTTTTGTACATAGCACTAGCATAATCTTGTGATATTTTGTGTTACGGCAATCTCATTGATTGACAGTTTTCATAGCTGGGTGTTGTTGAACAATGTTGATCTAACTGCTTAGTACATGGGCTAGAAAATACTTAAAAAATGAATTTTCGCATCGAGTTGTTGAAGCCACACTATTGAGCAGCTGCTGTCTCGTGTATTAAGTACAGTCCTATTTGAACAAAGACTTGCCTGGAAGAATCGCTGCACTGTTTGGATTTGTAGCAGGAACTGTGCAGACCGAGCACACTTGATCACGCCACACGAGAGTCATTCTTTGGGACTTCCTGGTGTTTACTATCAGGGGCCAAGTTGATGCGCACAAGGAAATTAGCATTACTAGGAATAGTTCGGCTTGTGGGGGGCATTCTGCTCTTTTCACATCGATCGCTGCCGAGTCTACAGGTCTCACCGAGGTGCGACGTGTAATCTCATAGGCAAGCGAAGAACTAGCAGAAGTGTAAAATACCCCTTTCAAGTCGAACAGTGCCCAGAAGTTTATAGGAGGAAGTTCACCTCATAGGTGAGCTTCGCCATTCTTAGGTAAAGATCAGGCTTTCTGACAGAGCTGTACAGGCTCTAGACGTAAAATCGTTCACTATAGTACTGCTCTCAATGAGAGAAGTTTACGCCGTACTCTGTATTGAGCAAACTGAAATGTTTCAGCCCATTTTGAACGGCGGAGGAAGGTGGGCCGTTTTCGCTCAGGCAATCAGCTGATTTACAGCTAATTTCAGCTGCAGCACTGTACAAGAGGAATCGTCCAACAGCTACTGAAGGTGCATAGGAAATGGCGGCAGTAATGACCTGTATCGCGTTGCAGTTCAGAGTTGCAGCTAGCGCGACGAAAAAGGCGTGGCAAGCAGGTAGAAAAGCGCAAGATTAGCAGAGGGAAAGGTGGATTGAATGCAACGGTGTTGCGTCTGGCAAGTCAACTAGCTAGGAAGTATTCAGCCAGCTCGGGCGAGATGCTCGGGTGGGCGGAGGCGGGAGGGACTTCAAAGCCCACCCCTTCCCGCCTCGTTCACTGCTGCAGGAGACGACACTGTTGCAGCGCATCTTCTCTTCCCGCCTCTTTCACCGCCACAGAAAGCGGGCTACTCTCTTCCCGTGAGCGGTGAGGAAGGAGAGAAGAGGTGAGGCGCGCCAATGACGTCCTTTCCTGACCCGTTTGCTGATCCTCAACCGTGTTTTCCGAGTAAAAAATCAGGAATTCTCACAGCAGGTGGCTCTCAGCGGAAGTGGGAGTGACTAAAAATGGCAATGTGTAGAGTCTGTCAGGCCGGCTGATATGGTGGGCAATAGTAGTCCCAGAAAGTACTGTAACATGGTTCAGTTTCCGAGTAGATTTTTTATGTTAGCTACAGTTTACAAATTTTTGTTGGGAGGAACACCTGGTCGCTTAGTGGAAGCCACACTGTCGCATTATTCAGGACCAGTTCCGGTCTGAATCAACACGCTGAGCTAAATGTTATGCACATGTCCAGTCTGAAATTGTTTGTTTGACTAAATTGTTTGTTCGACTGTAAGTAAACAATCACCAG